ACGAGTTACAACGGAGCCAATTATGCATATCAAACGTTATAGAAGGGACTTTCCCCTCAGTCATAATTCATCCAGCCCGGAGCAGATGGCCCTTTAATCATTGCAGACATTGGCACATGCTAGACACAAGGGTTTCAGCACCATGGACAGCAGCCAGTGGTTTGTTAAGCAGTTCAGCACCATGGACAGCGACCAAAAACTTCCACTCGTATGTTTGGCACCGCCGCAAAGCAAACCACACCACTCCACATCAAATCACCTGCTTTCTTTTCTTTCTCTTTTTTTTATCCTCGCCCACTTCCTCTCTCACCCCCTATCCGTCCATCTTCCTTTTTATCCTTCTCTCTCTCCCTCTCCCCCAACCGTTCCCTCTCAGCGCCAGTTCCGATCCCCTCCCTGCCTTCCTCTGTGGGCTGTGAACAGCAGTGTCATGGACGAGACCTTTTCCAGGTAATTGAGTCCTCTAGCTCACACCACTAATTTGCGAAGCTCGGGTCTCCCGAGCAGTTACCCGAGAGACAAAAACGGGAAGAAGGAGTGAAAGTGAGAAGGAGAAAATAACTGGACTGAGTACAATATGTTAATTGGTTTCCTGTAATTGACAGGCTTTGGAAAGGTCATTGAGTATTTCAGAGGAAAGCAAGAAGCATTTTACTCGGCGGGAACTGAAAGGGGACTGTAGCTAAAACCGTCAAGTGAATGTCGGATTCACGCGTGGTAACGATCAATTACTGCTGTTTTTCCGCATAAGGAAGCACAGCAATGACTCACCAAGTTGGCGCTTATGTTTGAGAATAAATAAGCAAGAGTTCAAAGTGAGAGATAAGCCGTGAGCACTCCTGCCACTCAAACCACATAACTGTTTACAAAAAAAAATAATAAAAATAAATAAATAAATATCCATACATCACCTCAAGTCACATCTTCTCAAAAAAAGTGCATGTTGATTGATCATTCTGCCGGCTCCTCATTCCGAATCTCAACAAAGACTCTACCATCATGTGCATCAACTAAACCTGCTGTTTTTCACTTGGTTTTGTTATCCAACGTACTGTGAATGCAGAGTAAATACCTTTGTGTGTACTCTGTCTCTGCCTGCAATGGTTCAAAGGGTTCTATACTAGTTTGGACTGGGCAAAAAACAAGAATAATGAGCATATAGTGTATTATAACTGATTTATCTGAACTGTGGCCTACAGTAAATGGAAGCACATATGAAACAACTCATTGATCTGTAGTGCTCATATGGACAACGCAGGTTCGAGTCTGGCTCTGAATATATTACTTAACCATAACTTTATGGAAGAACTTTCCACAGAAGATGTAAATATATATATATATATATATATATATATATATGTGTGTGTGTGTGTGTGTGTGTGTGTGTGTTAAAATGGGATACAAAAGGAATGGGTTTAAGGTTTAAACTGAGACTGAATTCTGGATTATCATCTTCATCTATCCACACTCTAAAAAAAATGCAGGGTTAAAAAATAACCCAACCTATAGGACAGAAAACACACTGGGTTGGTTTGACCCAAGAGCTGGGTTTTTCCATTCAACCCATATTGTTGGGTCATTCATTTGACCCAAACAGTGGGTGAAATTGACCATCTTTCTGGGTTAAGTTGGCCCAACAATATGGGTTTAATGGAAAAACCCAGCACTTGGGTCAAACTTAACCCAGCAAGATGGTAAATTTTACCCACTGGTTGGGTCAAATGAATGACCAAAGAATCACAATGTATTACAATTTTTAATACATTTCTTTGACTTTCTTTGTACACGATTATTGAATAGAAAATGTCCACCCACCAAAATGCCAATTGCAAATTACCCCCTTCCAACTCATTTTACCCAGCATAAGCAACCCAATGATGTGTTTACAGTACCCCAAACAACCCAGCATTTTGACCCAGCACAATCAACCCAATAATTTGTTTACAGAAACAACCCAGCATTTTTTGAGTGCAATAGAATGCATTATTCTCCTTTTGTTTTTTTGTTTTTGTTTTTTTTTTGCTGTAAGGAGCCTGAATCCCAATTTATCATGTACAACAAGTTGTTTAATGTCTCTTCGTTCTCTACCCATTATGAACAACCAGATAAAAATCTATTCAGTTTGAGTGACAATAACAGTGCCATCGCTAGTATGAACTGCATCAAGGGTAAGTGGTTACAGTGTCATTTCAGTGCTTTGTGCAAGTAACACTGCACCAAAGCTCATTGCATCAGTCAGAGCTGAGATAATGAAGTCTGAAGGAAAAAAAAAAAAAAAAAAGATTCCCAGCAATCAAAGACTACAGACTTTAGAATGTGTGACTGTTTGAGAGCCCAGCCGACATTTCCGCTCTACTTTCGTTTCTCGGTGCCAGCCAAAATGTCTACAGCCCCTATGTTATACTGACGTCCTCTCTCTCTATCTCACTATGCCCTCACCCCTTCAAATAAAGTGTTACAATTGCTTAACTTTGATGAGTCAAAGTGAAGTAAATTCTAAAAAAAAAAAAAAAAACATACTCATCATATACTTTTTAGAATTAAAGTATTATGCTTAAATGCATAATTTGGTAGAATATAAATGTATGCAAGAAAAAAAACTAAAATGTAACTAAAACTAAAATATTCTAACTATTAATTTGTTCAGCTGCATAAAAATTAAAAGACCAATTTAGTCAGTCAAAACACTGTGAGTGAGATATGTACCAAACAGCAGATCACATTCTGACATCACACTGCAGGTTTCCCACATTAAAAGCTCACCAGGAATCTGTCTTTCGAGACTTGGGCGAAAGAACTCATTTATCAAATCCCTGTCACGTGCCCTTGCTTCCATTTGTGAAGCACAACTGAATCCATTTCTAGGCAAATTTAATCAAATATTTCCTCTGGTGTAACATGATGTATTTCCTCAGCATTGGTAATGTTTAAATTCAGCCTGTGCAGACTAGGTTATGTACATGTCCACACTCTTTGCTGGAAACTTCTCTTCATCTGCCTGAGAGCCGCAGAGGCAGACAGACAGATCGAAGAAGAGAGGAGAAAATTACACAAAATTACACAAAAAGTATATAATTATTTACCTTAAGTACCTTAAGAGAAAGAGAGAGTC